AAAATTTTAAGTATTTGCCAAGAGTGAATTTGGATAAAGCAAAATAGGTAGGGCATAAGACACTGTTGTTTTGATACAGCAAAAAAATGTAATGATTTTTTTTTAAGTGGCTGGCTATCTCAGTCACTCACTGTCAGACCATCAGCCATTATTCTTCTCATTCAAAACTATTTAGACCAGTTTGAGTAAAAATTTTGTTTTATACATCTTGCCTACTCTACAATTACTCTTATGTTCAGAAAAAACTTTTCCTGGAAGTGTCTGATTGAAAATATTTATCTTTCCATCTCTCCCTTACCCCATCTCCTCCTCTAAGAAAGATTCAAGTCCTACTTTAGTCAACACTGCATTGACATTGGACTTCACCCATCTATAAGGAAACTAGAGAAGCATTAACTTCATAATTCTCAGAATAAAAGACAGGAAAATTGACTAACAGAGTCTCGGCTTGCAATGTACCAAGATAACAAACTAAGCAAAGGAAGAGATGACTCCACGCACAGCACTTTACATGTTAACGATGGACAATCCCAGGGAAATACTTGCAGGCATGAAAAAAGATTAAGAAATAATAATAAAGAACATTACATTCAATTGAATCATTCTGCATTACTCACCAAGGAAAAGACTTAATATGTTCTTATTTTAGCCTGGGCTTTTCCTTGGCATCTGTTTTTCTTAATAGAAAGCTCTTCTTTACAATTGCAAATGATACAGCAGACAGAAACAGTTAATAGTGACCTTATCAAGGTTATTTCTTTAATTTTTAATATTTTATTCAACTCTCTAGTTGATTCTCAATCTATACTGTGTTTTTGTGTTTTTCCTCACCATGCATTTGAACATGAACATAAAAGAAAAGGTATCATCATTTTTCCTCTCTGTGAAGCCCCCTGGAGTCTACAGAAGAGCACCATTGCTTGCTACAGGTACAGATATTTGTACCTGTATTTGTAAGAATCTGAAGTAAGTTCTCATAGTGTTCCTAAAATAGTTCAGAAACAAGCATAATGAACAGCCTAATTAACATTTTCCTCGCAGAATTAGTAAAGTGCTATAGACTCAATCCTGAAAACCCCAACTGACAGAAAAATACCTCCACTTATTCAATCTAGAAGAGAAATCTCTTACAATGCTTTTTTTAAGAGCTTCAAAAGATTGTGTTGGTTTTTACACTCTGCTGTACTTAATAGCAATTAAAATGACTAACCAGTCTCTTATCCTTCAATGACTGATTCTTTGCAGATACCAAACTTTCTCCATCTGTATTTAACATTTTCAGAGGACTCTTCAAGGTGAAGGCAACTGATTGCTTATATCACAGATAGGAACGCTTTCATAACTCCAGAGGATAAATAAATCCACTAAAGAAAAATTATAAAAGGAACAATCGGAAATCTAGAAGAGAATGCATCAGTCCCTATTTATTTTCCATGCCTATGATAAAAAATACTAGGGATACACAACCCTACCTTCCATATCATTTTATCAAGCCCAAATGATATTAATTTCTAAGGACATAAATCCACTCCTCACAGAACTCCAGACAAGCACAAGTCATGCAATTCATCACAACCAAGATGTTTCCTCAGGCACTGCCAGAGTATGACTGGGCATCCACCACAGATGCAGTTTTGCACAGGTCTCTTTCCAATAGCAAATATCTCAGTAACTCATCAGTGTAACTGTACACACCTTCAGTCTTACTGTGTGTATAGGAACTGCTGAATCACAGCCTGAACCTCTGATTGATCACCTGAGCAAGCAATGAGTCAGCCCTGGGAGCACAGGTGAAGGCAATTCACCTGTGCTGCCAAAAGGGATGGAGCCTGGCTGCACCTCTCCTAGACCCATTTAAGAGCTGACTACAGGTGGGGAAAGATCTCTTTCTGAAGACGCCTCCTTTGGAGTTGGAGTTTTCCATCAAGCCCAGGGCAAGGGTAAGCCTTCTATCTATTCTTTTTTGGTGTAATAACCTGCTTAGTCAAAATCTCTTGTATATTCATTGATTATACACTATGCCAGTTACAGCTAAGGAAAAGATTATTTCTCCATTTGATTTTTACTTTAATGTGATATATTTTAAATTCAAGGCGCTCCAGGTAAACTAAAGAAGAACTGATGCACAGAGAGGGTTAACACCTTCAGTAAAGTGTTTCAGCATGAAAAAGATAACCAACAGAACCACAGGATCTCTTCAGAAGAACAGCAGGTGTCTGCCTTAGGGTAAGCCAATTCTTTTGCTATGTTCTACTAACTGTATTGACGAGCTTTCTATTACTTATGACAGGAGCTTAGACACTAACTCACATTCACATGTCTACACACAGAAACTGTCTCTTAACCTGCAGCTGAATCCCACACCCTGTTTCCATAGTGCAACAGTTGAGCATAATTTCAGTTGTGCCCTGCAGAAACTGAATCACTCTCTGGCACCCTCACATACATCAGATCCTCAGCACATCCCTCCTATACCTTTTCAGGAAATAGCTGGCACAGCACCCGGGGGTACATCAAATCCAAGCTCCTGCTAAGCAAGTGTAACATCCAAGCCTTGGGGACTTTGGGAGTACAGCGGCAGTTACTCCTGTTGCAGTAGCATTACACAAGGGTAAGGATGATTACACACAGGCAATCTGGTTGTGACCCAAATCTGGTCCCTCCTGAAAAGACTTGAGCAATCTCTGTCACCGAGTGGTAATTCGGTAGGCCCTCAAAATGATCTAATGCTCAGTAAACGTGTTGCCACCTTCTTCACAATGACCTCAACACCTGAGCATTGTGAGAAGCCAGTTTTCTCCTGAACACTCACGCTACATCTTTCCAGAGTCACCTATCATCACTGTACCCAAGCAGAAGATATTTCAGGACACCTTTTGAGATGATAATCCCTTTGGGCACTTGCACTACCATTGGAAAGAAAAGGACTATTCAACTGGGAAACTGGTCAGAACTGCTAGGAGACCAGACCTAGGTCTGCATGACAAATAGCCTCATGTTACTGGGGGAAAGAAAAGGTGACTATAGTAAGTTTTAATGGACCTAAGCACCAATGTGTAACAGCTTAAGAAATTGATCATTTTTCATACCCCAAACTTTATAATGAGCAAAGGGCTGCTGTCATGGTCATGATGTAGCCTACATGGAGCTATGAATCTGAAATCACCTGGTTCACATTTCATTGCTTTTGGTGCAGTATATAGTCATCCAGCTTGCTCCATCACACCACTCATCATACCCTCAAATAGGGTCCTTGTTGAACTTTCTTGGATTCAGCTGTTTCACTGCAGTAATATGACCTTATGAGATATCTAAAAAAAGTTTTCATATGTGAACCATTTTTCTTAATTTCTGCCTTCAGTCTCCAAACAAAGAATAGTTTTTCAGTAATGTAATAAGAGTTATTTACTGGTATTGAAACCACAGGCTTACTGTAAGTTTTACAGCATCCAAAATGCAATGTAATTTTCCTCCTCTTTTTTTTTAGCCCATAACAATTCATTGCCATAATCACATCTGAGACACAGCACTGTCTCACTATTTTTTTTGTTTTGTATTTAAAAAAAAAAAAAGTTCAAAGCCAGACTGTAGAATAGTTACACATTGCTATTTAAACCATTGTTTAATAGATCAACAACAAGCTTGTAGCTAAAAGTAACTTGCATCTGACAGGCATTTTTCCTTTTCTTTCTTAGCGCTTCCTCTACTTTCTCTTTTCCAGCTCATATCCCCCCTGACACACATACACACATTCTCATTAGCTCACATAAGGATACTAAACACCTAAGATCAGAACTTCAGCTCTGTATCTTGACAGCAGCAAGGGACAGATCTTACAGATCTTTCTTTTTTGCCATCATCTTGTTTTTCCTTGTGTAGTAAAGTTTGAGAAGAAAAGCACGCACGCAGAAGAAGAAAAAACCCAACCCCTTTCCCCTGTCCCCAGGAAAAGTCAGAACTCTTTCAATTCCTAGTGAAGCATGCTTGTTGTCTGGGCATGTTATTCTCTCATTAGGACTAAACAGGACTAACTTTATTTACAGTACATGCCTGAAGCCTAATCCAAAGCTCTTTAATATCCATGGGTTCACTCCCACTGCCACTCTTACTGGCTCTGGCTCAAAGCTGTGCTTCTCAAACCAGTTGTGCACAAATCTCACAAACGTTGAGCCCAAGCCTGGGCAGATTAGTTCACACTCCTGTACTCTGAAGATGTCATGGGGCAGCCTGGCTCCTACCTCACGTCATGAAATCCTGACCTGTGCTTGTAATTTTTTGTGAATGAAACATCACTAAACTGCCCATTTGCTGCAGGCTTTATTTTGCTCCCCGTGCCTCTTCCAGAGGCAAAGAGGATAAGGAGATCTCTTCATACCACTCACCACACACTTTTCATACTGCACCCACATTAAAAGTCTCTGCAACAAGCAAGAAGTGATATCCAAGGATGGTTGTTGGTCTAAGAAGCCTTCTGGCATGGCAATGTCTGTCCTTGGAATATGATGCAGGAGACTGGCTGATGCTAACCAACTTCATCAACACAGAGGTCAGCGCCAGTCATAAAAGTGATTAGCAACTTAAGCAAAATAATCTGGGCATAGCACCCAACCAACACGACAAAGGGATTTACTCTGCATGACAGTATTTACTTTTGCTTTGCTTTTAATTTACCTTTCTGCTGAGCTAGTAAGTTTTGCTCATGTTGTACAACAGCATCAGAGTAGAAGAATGGATCATTATTTGTTTTACACTAGGAAGAAGACATCTTTTGTATATTCATCAATCCAATCTCTTTTAATGTATTGCACACGAGAAGATCCCAAGGAAACTGGGATTTCTGGAAGAGTGGAGAGTCTCCCAAAGCAGAGTTACTGACAGAGAATGCTTTCAGTCAATTGGTGTATAATCAATGAATATAAAGATGTTATAATTATGAAATAAACAGGAGACTTTGGCTAAGCAGGTTATGATAACAAAAAGAGAATAGATAGAATGCTTACCCACATCCTGGGCTCGCTGCAAGACTCCAGAGGAGGGATCTCCAAAAAAGATCCTTCCACACCTGTACTCAGCTCTTAAATGGGTCTAGGAGAGGTGCAGCCAGGCTCCACCCCTTCCAGCAGCACAAGAGAATTGCCCTCACCTGTGCTCCCAGGGCTGACTCAGTGCTTGCCTCAGGTGGTCAATCAGAGGTTTAGGCCGTGATTCAGCAGTTCCCATACAGTTGGTAACAAATTTTAGACTTTCTTTACTCAAGCCATTTATTTCAGCTTCTTTTCTCCCTTTTCATCTTACTCCTTCTCCCAGTTTCACGAAGTTCCCATCTCACAGTTGCAGCAAACACTAAGCCAATTGACTGAATGACTGCATAAGAAGAAAGAAGAGAATGTCCACGGAAGGTTGATATGAGGAAGAAGGGATTCTGGCAGAAAAAGAAGAAAGTAATAGGAACTTTTAAATGTAATTCTAAATAATTACATTTATTGTCTATAAAATATTCTTTCAAATGTTTTAATAAGTCTGCATAACGTAATCAAGCAAACTAAATTTAAATTAATTGCGGCCAGTCATATTTTAGCAATTTATGTGGTACGTACACATAAGAGTAAATTTGCATGCACCATACTCAGATTTTCCAGAAGTGTCTCTGTTTGGACTCTAAACCTGCTATACTCCGATTACAAGCTTCCAATTATCGTTCAGTTCTACGTAGCAGAATGTAAGGTCCCCTTACGATCCTTGCTTTTTCCACCACCTAACGTGTTAGAGAGCATTCTACATTTTCTTGAAAGCTATTGCCTTTCTTCAGCTGTCAATCTAAATTTAGGAGAGGCTGGGATGACCTCTACTCTTATTCACCCACAATTAGTTAATTCCACAGTCGCTCCGAGGGCTCTTTCACCAACTTATTTGTCTTTATGTCACTGTATTATACACTCTGAATGAACTGTTGTCTCCTTGACTACACAGGTCCCATTTGGAAGAACAGACCTATCAGACCTTTTATCATCAACATTATTCAACCTCGAGACAGACAATCTGGCTATTAGGAAGAGGCCTTACAACACTGAACCTTGTAACATGTGAGCAGAGGTCAGTTTTGAGATGGTTCAGATTTTGTTCCAACCAGTTCTCTCTTTCCTCAGAGCATAAAACCAGAATTTGGCACCACAACGCTTAAACAACGGGTACAAAGATTTTGTTTTATCTATTGCTGTGGTTACATCATAATAGTTATAGTGGGTGTGGGGGAAAAATAAAATAAAGCAAAACAAAACAAAATCAAAATAGAAGCCTGTTCTCTATAACATACAAGGTCTTCTTATTTCATTCCTCTTCTCAACTTAAGCAAAGCAAAAAATCACTGCAATCCTTCTTTTCTCTGATTTTCAAGCTAAGGGACAGCACTTCTAATTTTTTCCTTATGATGAGTCAGCCTGACAGCTTTAGTTACTGTTCAGTGTTGGTGGCAAAGCCTAGCCACCTCCATAGAGCAGCTGGGGGCAGAGATACCTACTTCAAAGTCTCAGCCCTTTCCTGTCCTGAATTAATCAACATCAGGAGTTTTACCTTAGCCCACACATAGTGTGTCACGTAACTCCTACAAGCACTGCATGTGCTGCCGAAGGAGCTACACAACAGCTTTTTTAAACTGCCTTCCTCGTACAGCATACGGAGAGTGCATTGGACAGGACAGGATGGGCAGATTCACTGCCAACTCAGCCCTTCCTGCAAGGAAAGGACACCAAGGAAAGCTGAAAGAGCAAACACAGAGAGAAAACGAGTCTTTCCTTTCTGAATTGGACTTTCTTCCTTGAGGACTCGGTCTTCCAGTACATGCAGGATTTAAGAACTTTTCACCATAACAAAATTTTCTCCGAGACAAGAAAGTCAGAGAGCAGAGTTGTCGAAGGGGAAAAAGTGGAAATTATATTCAAGATGAGACACACAAATGTCACGGAGAAAGCACATAGCTTTAACATTACAGCTTACAAACGGTCAAATATCCAAATTTGGTTCCCCATGAGTCATTTTCAGTGGTTTGGTAATGCAAAGCTGCCACAATGCACCAATTACTTGACTATTAACTTCTAGCAAGAATTTTTACCACTCCCAAAACTCTGACTAGTTCATTAGGGCAAGAAATACATATTTTAAGTTCTGGATGTACTGTTATGTTACCATCTATAAAGCACATACCAAACAGCACAGCAGATAATATTCATAAAATTAACACAAATAAAGCTTACAAACAACTGAGTCCAATGCCCAGAAAGTCTAGGAATCTGATTCTCTATGGAACAGAGGGGAGAGCTCCCATTTCCTTATGGATGAAAACACAGTAACGGGAAAGTCATCATTTTGTATTTACTGTACTGATATTTTAGTGAATTTGCCATGTTTCCTGGTTAGCTGAGAAATAATTTTTAGAACACCTACATCACACAAACCTTCTCTCCCAGGAACAATTCTAGATCCTGAATGAATTCAAATGTATGTTTTATTTACAGGACATATGAGCAGTAAAATTAATTACATTAACCCTTCATTTCCAAAGCCAACTGAAGCCAGTGGAGTCTTTGAGCCCATACCAACAACCTCTCTGTTCTTTCCCCTGGGGTTCCCAGCCCGATAGAAGGTTATATGCTGTCCTCCATAGGTCCATCAGGGATCCTTGTATTCACCAGATGCTCACATCTTTATCACGTAGCAAGAGAAGAAAATTAAATAGTGTTGAGTGTAGTGATGTAAGAATAGAAATGTTACTTCACAACCCAAAAAAAAAAAAAAAAAAAAAAAAAAAGAATTGTTTCAGCAGTAGGAGCAGAGAAGACTCTTGAAAGTAGAAAGTCTTAAAGTATTGCCCAGTTGGGAAAACCCCAAACACTGAGCCTTTCTGCTGAAGCAGTCATCATTGCAAGCACCAAGTACATGCCCACACCAGCCACTTGAAGCTGCAGTATCAAATACGTACATCTGAATTAACCTTCATCCATATGGAGCAGAGGCGCAGGAGCCCAACAGCATCTGATTCTGCCTAATGCTCCATTCCAGAGTTTGCAAAAAGACCACTCGTATCTCTCTCCAAAGTGGCCAGCAGACAAAGTAGGAGTTGCCTCCAACCTGCTGTCCCTAGTCCTGCTGGCTGCTTGAAGGGCACCATCCAAGATACAACAGATTCTGGTGATTACAAAGGCTTATGGCAGGGAGGACAGAAATTGTTCCTTGTTAAACGGGTGTTTTTAACTAAAGGGCTGCTGAGAAACAGCATTTGGGTGTACTTTTATTTGGCTCCTGCAGCCGGGCTTCCTGTGAAAGTCCTCACACTTGAAGACTCTCAAACTTTGAATCTGTAGCCAGTGTGAAACTCAAGCATATGTTTTAAAGGCACAACAGACAATATGAGAGGTCTGTAGTATCACACATGTATGAGCTGCACCTACAAATACAAATCAACACACAAATGTCCTGTACCACCCCTGCTAATTAAAGTAACTCAGTACCTTGTTATCCTTAACAAGGGAAACATTCATGTAATGCTCCCACATGCCATCACTGAGTGGCAAAAGCCAAAGTCAGGGTGGAGAGGAAATTTCACCACATAACATAACAACCTTGCTTCGAAGGAACAAGTGATGATGCCTACCTTCGGAGGAAGCTCCTGATGGTGGAGTAGAAGCACATCACAGCACCTCCCAGCATCCAAAAAGGAAGGAATGGGGCAGAAGGCTGGCCCTGCTCCGTCCCACACCCTACCACCAGGTGCAGGTCTTCCCCTGGGCTCAGGGGGCAGGAGGAAGAGGGAATTAACTCCTTTTGGAAGGGCCAGGCTCTTCCCACATGCTGGATTGGGAGCAATGGATTTTAATATACCCTTCTGGACTTCCGCCAAAAGTTAAGCTTTTCAGCATCTCACTTTCAGACACTTAGGTAGTTTTTGGATCTATCTTTACAAGTTTTGCCAAAGATTGCATAGGAAGGCTGCAATAGTCCAAGATCTTGAACTTCTGGTCTCCTGTAGTCTATATTAAAGTGTTAACTGCAATGTCGTGATTCTTCCACTCCAGCAGGTTCTCTTTAACAATTACAGTCACCAAAAGACAGAGGGTCACGTCCCATTGTAAAAGACAGAACCAGTCTTATAGCCCAAACTGAACACAAAGCAAACACTGACATTAGCCTGCCAGCAAGCTTGCGACAAAGAATTATTCACAAAATGGCAATCAGCCCAAACTGGCAAACGCCTTTGAAAACAGAAGCTGTAATTACAGAAACCTTTGGTTTGGGATAACTAGCTAAATACTGGTCTCTTCTTAGAGCGGGGTACTTTCCAGCAGCAGCATTTGACCTGAACAACAACTACAGAACACGGAAAAGTTGCGGCCTCTTCCCGCTCTTACCTTTCCACTTCAGCCCTCGTCCCGCGGCTCTGGGCCGGGCAGCGGGGCACGTCTGCACGGCTCCATACACACATTGCCATCCTGTGGCCGGATTCTGCCAGCACAAGTGGTTGCGAGAAGGCTGCGGAACGAGGGCCGGCGAACGGAGCGCTGCTTTTTCATGACGCAGACAAAACAGGGCTTTGTAATGGCCGTGGGCTCGAGCTGGAGAATGCAAATCCAACCGTGTTTTTGAAGCTTTGCAGCTCACGAGCTGTTAGATCAGTGATCCTGCCGACTGCTGAAAAATATTTGTATAGTACTGAGATGCAGGTAAGGAAAAAAGAAACGTGAGGAGGAGGGGAAGGGAACATCAGGCTTTGAAATCTTCGGGAAAAACACAAATGGCCGCCACTGATTTGAGCCCTACACAGGGCATCAAGGAGCAGCAATCGAGCCGGGAAGTGTGAGCACAAAGGAAAAGCCTCGACACGATAGATGAGCCAAAGCCATCTGGAAAACGTGACCCCCGTACCAGGAGGCAGTGGGGAGGAGGGCATGGCACGATGAGGGTGAGTGATAGGAGAAAGAAAGCAGAAGCTGGGCAGGAGCCTGAGGGCTGCTGGCACGTTTCAGAAAGTTGCCCTGGGTGTTA